ATGACGCGGACATGACCCTCGATACAATTCCAGTACGAGGTGATGCATCATCGGTGGCTACCCCGGCTATACGGCTATAGCTGACGGTCCGAACACTTAGGAAATGACGATGCAACAGCACTTCGAAGCCTCGAACCTTGCACAGCAGATCAGACCCTGGTAGAGAAGATCAGGGAGATGCAACAAGAAGATGAAGGATCTGGAATTCGCATCGAAGAATTGGAACGACAACGCGACCACGCATGCTTGGCCATGCGGCATATCAACAATGTCAATCAGGAGATGAAGCGGGACTATGAAGCAGCATTGTTTCGCATGGATGAGCAGCACTCTGCTCAACAACGTCAAGGGCATGCCATCGCCGAGGAGTTGGCTCAGCAGCTACATGTGTTTCGGACAGAGGCGGCTGCAAACTTTGTGCAGTTGGAAGCACGAGCTCAAGGTGATGGAGAACTCATGGCGCGTGAGTATGAGCATCTGACACAGGAACTTCACGAACAAGCCAGGGAGAACCTGTTCCTCCGATCGAGCACGGCTAGCTCTGAGCAAGCCATGCACGCCATGCAAGAGCGATTCATTCTTGCCAAGAATCAAGAGTTGCGAGTCATGAACGAGATCCAAGGGTTGGCTGGAAATCATGCCGCGATTGATCAGGAACGACAGCCGACAAGTCCAAGAGCAAGGACAAGGAGAAGAAGGCTGAAAAGGAGAAGAAGCGGAAAAGCGAATCCCCGTTTGATCAGAAGCGTGCCGAGAAGCGGCAGCGCGGGGAAAAGGAGTTGATGTAAACCAAGGTTGCGGTTTAACAATCAAGAGAAGCAAGTGTGAGGGCGGAAAAGCCGCCCAGGCAAAGCGTGAGGGCGGAAATCGCCCAGGAGCAAGCAACGTTTCACAATGCACGAAAGAAGGGGCAGTAAGGCCTATCCTTTCGTGTGAAAAGGGAGAGCTATGCTGAAAGTGAATTCCAAAGAGAAGAGCGGAATTTCACGGAAAGGCGTTCAACGCCACTACAGCAAAAGCTGAAACCCACGTCAAAGCACAACGAGCACAACGAAAGTGTTTCAAAAGAAGAGGCAAAAAGGCCTAAGAGCGGTAAGTGCAGAGAAAACCGCCAAAGTTTCCAGTTGCCGAAGAGCAAGCCTGGACTATATCGCGAAACGCGACGTGAAGAAAAAGTGAGTGCGCTTTAGATTCTGAGTGAGTCCCATGCCAATCGTGTGTGTGTGTGTGTGTGTGTGGAAATTCACGCAAATCTGTTATAGGACATCTGAAGAGTGAGGATGAAGACAAAAGAAGGAAGAATAAAGATGTTCAAGAAGTGCTTAAAGAAGCGTGCGAGAAGTGAAGATCAAGCTCACAGGAGCATGCGAAAACAGTGGTAGATGTAGGAAAAGTTTCACAAGGGTCGCATTACACGACAAAGCTGTGTATGCGATGAGGGCGTAACAGATAGTTCAATTTTCCCTCATGCCCATTTACATACAGGAATCCAGTGTTTCACCGCAGGTCAAACGTAGGCTCAGGCACAGCCCGACAGCGGAGCACGGAGTGAGAAAAGAATCCAAGCTCGCGCCGTGGTTATTATAGGAAGTATACTGGTATAAGGGTTTAAACTTTCACAGCCCCACCACGACAAGCGTGAAGGTGGATCAGCTGTCGAAACGGCCAACTCTCAGGCTACACGCCCACTTCGACTTCAACATGGCAGCCGGGCGAGGCGTCGTCTGCCGGAGACCCGGGCAAAGCATCCTCTTCGGAGAAGCCACGGAGTCACAGAAAGAAACTGTCGTGGGATGACCCCATAATTGAGTTTCATGCGGAACAGCATCAGGGCTACCGCAACATGGCGGAAGAAGAATTCGAGAACGAGAAGGACGAGCCGGTCACATTGTCATGTCGCATGAAGATAGATTGAGATTCCAAAACCTGGAGTTCCGGCCGATCCAACTACGTGAAAGAACAAGGATCACTCGTGAAAATTATACAAGGCAGCGGGCCTGATCCGTTTTCCACCAGCTCCAGATGGACCAGACGATGACACCGTGGGTGAGAGTGTCGATCCCTCGGCAGCGGACCTGATTTGTTTTCCACCAGCTCCAGATGGTCCAGTCGATGACTTCGCGTGTGAGAGTGTGGATATCTCGGGCTCCCGCAACCTGAAGGTTTACCAACGTAAATGGGATCCCAACCAGTCTCGAAGGCCAGACGAAGGCGAACCGGGAAGATTGTATCCTTCGAGTCCTGGCTGTAAACAGCAGTATTTCAAGGGACGGGCAACAGACAAGAAAGGGTTCTTGCTGGTAACTTGCATCCGCACGTCAGCAAGAACTTGGATCAGTCATTGAAATATGCATCGTGGCGGGGCAGCATGTTCCGAGGCATACGGTTCTGCCACTCTCGAACACGCCGATGGCGATCGAATCGTTCTTGCTGATAGCTTGCAACTGAATGCGCCCTTTGCTGCCAGGCAAGAGCCGAGATTGTGCTCGAGGCAATCCCAAGTTCACGGGAGCCGGAACTTGCAGCAGCCGCACCGGAGCCAAAACTTGCATGGGCAGCTGCGCTAGAGCTGGAGCTGGCCGCTGCTGCGCTGGAGCGCGTGCAGGGTGAGGCAAGGACATCGCAAGGGAATCACGTCACGCTCGTGACGGGCACAAAGTATGCAAGCATATGCAAGCTAGCTCTTCCGTTGCTTGCGGCGCAAGTGCTGTTACGGACGGTCACTGCCAATTGTCCCAGTACGGGTCACGCGCGGGAAGCCAGCGCAGATGCTCCGATTGAAAGAGAGAGAGAGAGAGAGAGAGAGAGAGAGAGAGAGAGAGAGAGAGAGACGCCTGTGGACCCGAAAAGACTTCGGGGGGGCATGATGCCCGGAGGCGCAGTTCGATCCAGTCCAAGAAGGAGTGGTGCATGTAACTGCCTCGCCGTCGCAACATTTCCATCGGTTTTCATGCAGTCTTGCCACGTAGGACTGAGCTGAGGTTGCTTCTGCGATGGCGATGGCGTGTCTTGAGCTTTCTTGTCTAGGTGAGGTGGGAAGCTGCCGCACGAGGAAAACGCTTGGAGAGTCCTGCGCAGCAAATCCGTAGTCTGCTGCGCAGATTGCCTGCGCTGTCGCTACACACACACCCACACACACACACACTCGCACACCACACATGCACGCACTCACTCCAGCACTCACTCACTCGTTCACTCACACTGTAGCCGCCTTAGCTTGAGCAGCACGGCGAAGGGGGTGTAGATTTTACCTTGCCTCCAGATGTACTTTTATTGGCCTTCGAAGTTCTTTTACGCGACCGCATTTGGGATCAAGTCCCCGCGTGTAAAAGACACCATTGGGTTGATTTAACGGTAAATTGAATGCGTGTAGCTGTGTACCTGTGAAACTGTCGAAGACGGAGTTCTGCCGCAGCATTCAGCATGCTTACAAGGCCGTGAAAAATCCGATTGAGAGACTGGTGCAGTAAAGCGACGGGTCAGCAACATCGCACCTCGCCACAAGAGTTGCTTGGCAGCTGGGTTTTCGCGGAAGCTTGCACTCCAAAGATCCTTTCGGTCTAGGTTGTTCCGTGCAAAGCCGACGGAAGCCGGCAAGTCGGACAATGACACAGAACGGAAGCGGACGTCTTGACCAATCTTTTTCATATGGGTTGCGTTCTAAATTCGCGTGTGGGTGGAGTTATTTAAATTGACATTAATGCATTGAGGGGGTATCTTTCTTGCTCTTCGCTATGAGGCGGCACGCAAGTAGATCCACTTATTACCGAAGTTGGCGCTAGGAAAACCGCTAGATTCGCGCTAGGCAGGAATCGAACCGCATGATGTCGTATGCTCAAGGTTTTACCAAAGCGCCCCAAACCCGCAGGATCCGTAATGAAAACCTAAAGCCATGCATCTTCAAAACCCGAAGATTTCCGGAGCTGAATAGCACTCGTTGTTGTCGTAACAAGAGTACAGGTAGGTGTCTTCAGGAGTTCTCTGCCTCGCTGCCTTTGTGCCGCCTCATCCGAGCTTGCAGCGAGGTCATTTTTCAGGCATTTGTAAGAGAGGCCAGTGCGCTAGATCCGCGCTAGGTGGGCGCTAGCAAAAATTCAACGCAACCTGCCATGGAAGACCCGGGCCCATTCAAGCTCGTCGGATTGCAGTTGCCGGGCGCCTCCATTCCGACTTACAGCGTAACTTTCGAGTAACTTTTGCGTAACTTGCTCGTAACTCGTGCGCGCCGGGGGTTGCTCATATATGCCGAGATCCGCAGTGGTGACTGCTCAGGGAGGCCTACGTTAGCCCCGTTAGGCCATCATTTCCTTCCCGTCATCCTCCCCACATTGAATACAAGGGGCCTGGTTCGCACTCAGGACAAATAGGGTTGTTGAGCCACCGTGGATTCCACGGTGTTTGTAACAGCCACCCTGCTTTCCACGGGGGTCAGAGGTCAAGGGCAAGCAACACGTTACTGTCGAACCCGCGCCATGCTCGCAAGCAGCAGCAGCGGGACATCTTGCATTCCCGCCAAGAGTCCAGTAGCAGCAGCAGTAGCAGCAGCAGCGACAGTTCTTCGGACAGCAGCTGCTGAAAAGCCTGCGCGCTAGTACCCTTCTTAAGAATCCACGCATGCATTCCCAAACTCCTGCGTTTGCTGGTATGTATCTGTAAGCCTCTGTAAGCCAGGTTTTCTTTTGCCACATGAAGCGGCACGCAACTACAGCCACATTAACGTCAGTTTCGGGAATAAGCATTTGACAACAACCCATATCCAGATCATGCTGCTACCGGAACTTCACGGACAATACAGCGGCATGATTTTGACAGCATTGGCATAGGCTGTTTGTTAGTTTGTGTGAAGTCATGTGTCGTGTGAAGTGAGAGGGCTTCATGCTGCTATTGCAGTTGCAGTTTTCTCGTAACTATCAGCGACGCTGTGTCCCGCGATGTCTCGTGCAGGATGGGTAGCTTTAGTCACAACCGTTTGTGGTAGATGTGCAAATAGAGCACTGCAGGATTTGATCTGCCATTTCTGAACCACGCCCAGCTCATCAAATCCACTCGGCACATATTTGTATGGCCCATGGTCGATTGTGATCCACTGGCCTCTTGGGTACAAGGCCGGGTGGCTCTGTTGGGAGATGCAGCACATCCCATGTATCCCATTGGCTCTAATGGAGGGTCCACAGCAATCCAGGATGCCACCCGGTCGCATCTATGGGCGGCTAGCTCGCGGGCCAGACTCAATCTGGAACAGTAGAGCAACATCGTGATGCGGTAGATTAATATGGTAGACTAGTACAACGGGGGTAGGTTCAGTACTATGTGTTGCATCATGGTTGCAAAACAGCATTCGGCAGCGGCAAGCATAGCCAGACTCGGCTGGACGGCGGCATCCTGTACCATGGCGAAAGTATAGACTTGGCAGCGTAATATTACATGATTGCAGTCTCGACGACGACGAATAGTAAATTCACATGCCGCAGTTGCCATAACCTTACAGTTTCGTCACAAGGTGTCGTTTGTCTGTAAGGTTTGGTTTCCGTGCGCGCTGCATCTACTCAGCTGGCTTTTGTGAAACTAAAGCTTCAGCATATTGTAAAATGGTATGTCAGAGTAAGATACGACGAAATGGTAGTATAGCAACATGTGTTCAACCTTATATGGTTAATTTTTGGAGAATGAGGGAGTTTATTGATTGGTTTATGCATACGTGCATATAGGTATAAGTCTGTACTTTGTTACATTTGCATGAAAGTATATATTCTACACGCGCACACACACACACACATACATGTATATGTTTATATATATGTATGTATTCACAGGTTTGTATATGCTAGGTGCCCTGATGTGCCTGCCAATTTGGTATGGTTTGCGAATGTTTGCGATATCAGGTCGAGGGCCCGACGCTCTGAATATTCGCAGTTGTAGACGATGTTTTGTGATGTGCCGCGCGCGGAGCGGGTGTGGATATGTCACTGGTGATACGGCCACACACCTGCTTTCCTACTTTCCAAGCCATCCTGTTGATGTGTTGTGGCCACAGACTATGACAGACACAGTCGTTGTAACGAAAGAAGTCAATAAGGCCGTGAATGCCCGTAGACATGTTGAACGTAATGGTTTGTAAAGTGTTCGCTTGAACACTCGCTCACTACCTTGTTTAAAGCACTGGGATTTGCTTGTATTTGATATGCACAACTTGTTGTTTTCCTGCTCAGTCTAAACCAGCGATTCATTAGTGCCGTGATTTGTACGTTTCGTCGCTCGGATGAAGTAACTTCGAAATCAAGGATCATGTACAGATGTAGGTCTCTATTGCGCATTTTCAAACCAAGACAACTGACCACGTCACAGATCTCCAAGTTGCGCAGGTTGAATGGCAGTTGAGTACTACAACAATATGCACGAAGCTTTGTCAATCAGTACAGCTGTGCTTCAGATTTCGGAAGGTGTCGCATCTTATTTGGTTTCGATTGTGAACATACACACACACACACACACACACACACTCCTATTCTGCAACACACGACCTGGCTGTCTGCATGTTGGCACTTGAGATTTGAAGTTGGTTCATCATGCGAGACCAACAGAAAGCTGCAAAAGGTCTTTGAACGGATAAGAAACTGCATGAGCCCGGTAGGTATTTGTTCTTATCTTGTCTAACGACACGAGACACGATCGCTGATCCCGCCTGGTTGTGTTATATGGCATGAAAAGTTCGGGTTGGGTGTGTCGGAAAAGTCAGTGAATTGAATTTGTTGCAAGCGATGCCTCAAGAACATGAAAGAAGTGTCGACGAAAAAGTGTTAATGCACGGCTCATCGTTACAACGCGCTCAATTCAACAATGCACATTTCTGCCATGCAGCTGCTAAGACTCAAGAAGTTGAGACCCTGGATCTACTTTGTTTCACCTGCATATCAAAACCAGAGTACTGTTTGCCACACGTTCGGTTCGAGTTTGTTGCTGGTTGTGATTCCTTGAACTGAGTTGGAGCCAAGTATCAGACCAACTTGAGTAACAGTTGACTCCAGTTTTGGACTCTGGGAGGCCAGATACGCGTATTAGTATGCAAGCTGAGCTAGGCAGCCGCAGCTGTTTGGCTACAGAATCAGAATACAGTGTGCGAAAATTGAAGGGTAGTCTCTTTCAACTACTCGTTTATATTTTCTAGTCAGTTACCTGAGCCAGGGAATGTTTTGACAGGATCAAACACTGTTCAGGATTCTTGTTGATCATGCTGGCTACGTCCATAGACATGCCAACTTAATGGCCCTTTGCATCGCGTGAGAACAATCATTTGGGACATCACGATTATGAGATACCTATGGCATAGGGCTGCACGGGAACGTCAAAGCTCTAATTCTACCTAGTGCTCCTATTTCGTCAGCGAGGTTCCTCCGCCCCTCACGAATGTAACGGAATTCGCGGAACTAACGATTTCAGAACTGACGACGACAAGCAAAGTTGAAGTAGGGGAAGGGGCTTCAACGAAAAGCACTATGAAAAAGGTATGTTAAACTTCAACGACATGTATTGCCTATATGCGGTTTAGATACCAAGCATCACACTTGCAAAATGAGATTCAACCCGAACCTGCAATTCTGAACGCTAATCAACTCTTGATAATTATCTGGGGTAGGTATTTCCAATACGTGTTTGGAGGATCAGAAGGGGTGCCTGGAGGCAGATGAAATGTATTGCGTGCATATGGTGTTGAATTTTTAAAATCAGATGAAACGAACCTCAACCCCAGCCCTCAATCCTGAACCTCACTCTTGCACCGATACTATTGTTGTATGTACGCTTAAAGCCTCCTGAAGGCTTGGTGTCCCGTGATCCCAGATCTAAGACTCGCTCGGAATCTTGGATCTCGGATCTGGGAACACCAGGCTAAAAATTCGAAGCTTTACAGATTCCCTTGCTGCCTCAACAAAAAGGCCTCCGAAGAACACAGAGAGCGTAACGATCTTTGGGGGGCACCATGATATCCAGGCGGCTGCCATAGCAGAGCTGCTTTCCACGGCCGGGTCTGATGGACCAGGAATCGAAGCAGCTTTGGTTGAATACCAGCAGCAACGGCTGCCTGTGGTAAGCGACGTGCAACACGCCTGCAGACTCATGCTCCCAGAAAAGGCGCGGGGCGGGGGTGTCATGGGACGCAGTGTCGTGCTTCTTAATTTGCAGGTATGTGCACCTGTTGTTACACCAGGCTCAGATCTAGAATCTAGACCTTGAAAGACGAACACCGGCGGATCCTGTGTGTTGCTTTTTTCGATTGCAGGGGTGCCAAGCTAGCTTTACGCGGCAGGGTATGGGAAGGGAGAAGTGTGGATCAACAAGGTTTCAACGGTCGAGGTCTCCTTGAGAGTTCCTGCTGTCGGGAACCGCGGTTTTTCGGTGGTATGTCAGGAGCTAACAAGGTCCGACATAAGGAATTCTCTCGCATCTTCTTTTGGAGGTTGTATCTTGGTTGTTTCTATGAAGAAAACGCCACTGCTAGTCAGTCAATAAGCGTAACCTGTGTGCGACCAATGCCTTACTCCCTGTTTGGAGAAGGTCATGGATGAAGTTGAGCATCGGGTGGCGCGCGGCACCACCATCCCTGCCCGTTACGGTGAGAATCTTCAAATCGCGCTGCGTCTGGCGCAGAAGGGGCGTACATAGCGTGTAGGCGCTGTTCCTTTGATTGTCTTGCGCTTCGAGTTATAGCATGCCATGGAGCATCTCGCCCAATGAGTATGTTGTAGCACGTGATCGCCTAATAGTGCAATGTGCACACACCGAATACCCTGCAGCATGAACCAAGCTCCTTAAGCTTTAAACTCGAAAAAACATTCGTAATATTTTGGGCAGGATGATTTTCCGCAAACCGCCAAAGTGTGCTAGCTGCGTCCTTCAAGAGCCTGGTGAAAATGTTGGTGGCGCGGGGATAGCCCAGAGGTTTGAGGCTTTCAAGGGTTTTAGATCTCAATTTCTTGAGAGTGTTTTCAGCTGGATATGTCGCGGTCTTACAAGGCTTTGTACTGGTGTTAGGAACCGAAATGTTTCGGACGGTTTCACCCGGGATTGGATGATAGTTGGCAGTTTCGTAGGTTCTTGGGGTTAAGCCTTTTACTGTAAGACGGTTTAAGGGGGCTGCTGCATGCAGATTCCAAGCTTTGCATTTTACTCGCGAAGGAGATGTTATGCATTGCAATAAGCTCACTTCCATCAGCCAGGGCAGTTGAATTCCCAAAGTTCTGGTGTGTGACTGTACATGATTACATGCACGTGCACACATGCGGCCTTGCAAGCTGTTATCATATCGACCTGGTGGCAGTAAGGGGGAAGCGCACTGCTGCTAAGAGCACGAAGCAAGAACCAATTGTGTCTTGGCTTTCTCTCTCTATCTCTCTCTCTCTCTATCTCTCTCTCCCTCTCTTTCGGTCTCTCTCCCTTTCTCTTTTTCAGAGGTGGGAAGAAGGTCCTCGCAAAATCATTCAGACAAGACTATAGCCGCCGCTGTGGGTGCCGTTCCCAATCCTAGAGTTGTTAGCTACTACATTGACATCCAAAGGATAGTACGGATAGTAGATTTCGTTGTACAGCACGAGGAGTCTCTGCTCGCAGCAAGTTTCGCAACGTCCATAGCTGATGCAATCTTCATAGGCAAGGTCACAATAACCTGCCTTGGACAGGAATTCCCAGTCACAGGGCGTTGTCCAGTTTCTGTTTCTGAGTGCAGTGTTTTTCTCAGACAAGCGATTTTTCCCTGCATTCGGCGTTGTGTTTGCGATGAGCATAAGGTTCCAGCCAGAACAGGCATTTCGTAGAAAAGTTCTTGTGGGGAGTCTAGGACCCACCGACACAAGACTGCTTCAAATCGCGTCGCTTCTTGTTGCACGGTGTAGTTCGAACCAGTTCAATGCCATGCTCGTAGAAGGACGAGAGAAGGCCGCCGAAACACCGTCCGGCGGAGCTGCTCCGCTCCGGCCTGCAGTTGCAGTGGCCTCCGCTCTCAGAGAGCAGCACTACAGGAGCATTCAGACGTAGAAGCACTCGCTGTGGTGACCGGGATCATACGTGTCCGTAGCTCAGCACGCCGCAGCGAGCCTGGAGCGAACAGTCCTTGATGCATGTCCAAAGACTCTCGGCTTGCGCTTCGTGGCTTTAAAGTACGGTTTGTGGTTATCGCCATGGCGTCCAAGTTTGGGTGAAGTGCAGTTTCAGCGGGTTTTTCAGGGGGTTGGCCTGAATCGTGCTGTCCAACATTGAACCAGCACCGCTGTGCTTGACTCGCATTGTCGCGAACACTAAGATTCAAGCAGTCCTCTGCAATGTGGCCTTCCGCGGCTGTTGAAATCGGCCACATGTGTGTCGAGTCCTAACGGGCCCTCGTGAAAGAACACCTTCTAAAAGCAGAAGCCTGAAACACGCATTGCAGTATCTCTTGGTTTTTAAAACGACAGGCGGCCACCGCCCTACTAAGCAGACCACCGTCACTCGATTTCCCGGCCCGGAGCTTGCAAGCTGCGCCTCAGCTCCTCTTTCCCGAAGGATTTGGAGAGTGTTATGACTGCGTATGGCCGAGTATCTTGGCCTCATCATGCATGTGGACGATGATTGGACTGGTTCCTGAACCTCAATACGGAATAGCCCAGGCATGCCTTATCTACGCCTCTCGAATCGGCATGTAATCTGCATTAAAATTTCCTTAAACACTCAACCCGAAGCCAATGTCCCTAAACTCTCAAACCGAAGCCCCGAAACCGTGCAGCCCTACTCGTACCTACACCCTGAAACAGGTTGGTCATGCGCCAACTCAGCAACATCACCTTCAGCCGACTTGCAAAGAGGAGTGCCTGGAAGCCGCAGAGGGCAACCACAGCCTTTGCGAGGACTGCTCCGTCGGCAGATGCAATGAATGGCCTCCAGCCGCACGATGACCTTGCTACACTACTGTGGAAGAAGTTCTAGCCACAAAGGGAATATCATCATAATTCATAATGAACATCTTCGTCTTCAACACCCCCCAGTTTTGCGTACTCTTCGAGCTCAACATGGGAGTTCCTCAACGACACCAAAGTTCCCAAACCTGGCCTCGTAGAGGAGTGCGGTCCTGGCTTCTGTCCCGGGCACTTTGCAGATCTCGATTTTGGGGCGACTCGGCGTTTGACAGGGTCTGGGGGTGGACGTCTGGGGCTTCTCACGACTATGGGGCCTAGCAGTTGCCCATGATTTTCGGTAGCGGTCTCAATGTAGCAATTCTTCGATAATGTTCGCTCAAACCCCATTCTAATTCTTTAGGCACCTGTAGTCCACCTTGTAAGGTTTCGGAGTATGGTGGTGTACCCAAGTAGCTTGTCAGATTCATAGGGGCCAGGATTTCAGGTTTACAACGACGCCTGAACCCTTTACGCCGATGAACTCCAAACCCCTAAGCCCTGAGAACCCCTGAGAACCTTCAAACCCTAGGAACACATAAAACAATCATAAGCACCGCTCCTGAACCTCAGAACCCTAGCTGAGGATCAGGAGATCGAGAAGATCTGCCGGGCATGGTTGGTGTCCCGACTGTAAGGGCGACACTTCAGGCAGTTCGAAGCTTCCGATGTCCTCCTAAACTCTGCACCTTACACCCTCAGCCCTAAACTGGTCCTTGGCCACCCTTTACGGTGTGCGGCTCGTTGCCGCCTTCGCCTAATGTCCCCAGGCCCCAAACGCCCAAACGTTCCAAACTCCTTACTAAGCCACCGCGCCCCCCCAACTCTTTAAACCACACAGCCGCTTCAAACCCTTAAGCTTTTAATCTACCCACCCGAAGCCCAACAACGCCTTTGAAACTCCAGCAATACCTCAAAAACCTGAAGCCATCTCCCCCCCCACAGCCCTAAGAGACCAACCCAAAAGCCCCTAAACGCAAAACCCCCCAAAAGGGCTACACAACGGCAGGAGGCCCAGTGCTTCGAGCAGCTGCGCCCGCAGCGGCCACAGCGGCGCTGGTACGGCGCGGGGACGGCTCCCGGGCGGAATGGCTTTTAGGTTTAGAGGGTTTAGGTTCAGTCGGATTAAGCTAACGTGCTGTCTCGAACGAAGCTCAACGACAGAGTCATATTACGTTTCCCTACCCAGAGCGATCGTCAATCGCCGAGGGCAAGTAGGCTTTTGGGGAGAAGCGACCAAGCACAGCGAACTTGAGCCTACACCCCAAAAGCCCCACGCCTCTGGACTCTAGACTCTAAGCCCGAAGTCTTACAAAGACTCAGAGCACTAAGCCCTACAAACCTGAAGCGCTTTCAGAGGCCCTGTGTCTGTTTGGCAACCTGGGTGCTGAGCCCGCGGTGGAAGCTTTCAGGCCCCCGGATTTCGGAGCAGATGTTAAGGGCTGAGGGTTTAGGGTCTATGGGGATCGACTTATTTATCTATCTGTGTGTCTGTCTGTCTGTCTGCCTGCCTGCCTGGCTGGCAGTCTGTCTGTCTGCCTGTCTGTCTGTCTGTCTATCCGTCTCTCAGTCTATCCTTCTATCTGTATCTATCTACGTAGCTGTCGGTCTATGATCCATGTATCCATCTATTTATCTATCCACGCATGCATCCGTGTATCCGTGCACCTGCGCATACATGCATCCCTCGCTCCAGTCCATCCATCTATGGTCTTCTTTCCTGTTCATATGCTCCGTAGATACAGAAGTGGCGAGGGCCGGACCCTTAGCTGCCAACTGTCCCGAGGAGGAACGTGGTACAGGTGCTGGGGGCGGAGCTTTTTCTGGTGTCGACCGAGGCACGGGGAAGAACCCTGAAACCATAACCCCAACCTCTGCAGCAACCCTAAGCCCCACATCGTAAGACTTGGCAGCGCTCATGTCAAACCTGCACGCACGGGCCCAGTGCGGCAGGAACGCTGTCAAGTCACTGTCTATGTTTTGCTCGACTCAACCACGGCGTGAACGCAACATGGACTCCTAAACCCCAAACCCTCATGGTCTTTCAATGCGCTAAATCCAAAATGAGTTGCTGTACCCTCAATCCACGGTGCAAGCCTGGACCCTCTCCCCCGAACCCCAACTTTCACACCCTGTAACCCTTGAGCCTCCAAAAGGCCCAAATTCTCCAAGCTACTGGAGTATTGTAACTTGTCAACTCCACGAACGCAAGTTTTAGACTCCAAGCCGGCCCAAGCCCCCAATGCCCTTACAACACACTATGCTCCTTTATCGCAGTCTTATCAAGCCTCCTGAGCCCTAAACTCTCAGAAAGCTTCGGCCCGCGTCCGCGTCCGAGACCCGACCCAGGCCAGGGAGGCATTGGAACTGTCGGGCTTTGAGCCGAACTGGCGCCGGGCGGTTCTGGACGTGAACTCTGAAGACCCCCAGAGGCAGAGCAAAAGATCAGGGGGCTTCTGTTTAAGCCTTAGTTACTGGGGTTACGGGGTTTGGGGGCATCGGGTTGTATGTGGTTTGTAATTTCGGTTTCGGGAGGACCTGAAACTTCCAGATGTTAGGGGCTTGATTGGAGAAGGGGAAGGAAGAGGGGAAATTTGGGTTTGGGAGGTTGTGAAATGCTGTAGGGCTTAGATGGGATTGAAGGGTTCAGGGTGTAGGATTTTGGGGTTCAGACGTCGGACTTGCAAGGAAGCTGTGGGGCGTTCACTTGACAGAATGTCGTTGCTGTCCTGTCATTCTGCAGGGCAGTTTGTGACAAGGTAGAAAAACTTTTGCACATCTTTCGTGCTTGGCAGACATGCCGTTGCCGTTTGTGCACGTTTTAGACGTGGCTTTTAAATATCTCGGCGGAGCTGAAAGGACACCATGTCTTCGTGTTGTGGCTCTTCCTGTCCTTCGTGTGTGGAAGGTTGTGTGTTGGTTGTAGCTCCAGTGCTGAAGTGCGAAGCTTCCACCGAAAACTTACATGCCACAAGTGCGCACGGAACCGAAAAACTGTACTGCTACCCGGTGCAGTCCGAGTGGCACTCCCGCCGATTTTGTGCGTTCCGCTGCAGCCCTGAAGAAGGATGCAACCCTGCGCAAACGAGACGCCCGAAGCAGCACAAACGACCGGAACTCTTGCAGGCCGTAATCCCCCTAGAGCCATGGCCTCGAGAGGCATCTCGACCAGTTTCCGGGCTGGCGAGAAGTCTTTGAGATTGAAGGCTTGGTGAGAGTCCTGAGATTTCGGCTGGCGCATTCACAACGTTCAGGGCCCAAGGTTTACGATGAGGGTATGGAGTTGGTTGAGTGGCTTAGCAGTTAAGGCTTAACACTCTACGGCCGGGACTGGTCCGAGCTGTGAGTGTATTAAGGTATGTCAGATGACTGATACTAGAGTATGTTATATTATATTCCTGTAGTATATCATGTCGCATGACGAGGGACGAGGAGGCGTGAGGCTGGAGGTTGAAGCCTCGGGGTTTGAAACGCGCCCAGATGGAACATTCAGGAGTTTGGGTTTGAGATTCCTTCAGAGTTTGTCTTTGAAGCTACTAAGCTCTGCAGCTTAAACCCCTGAAGCCTGGGAGGCAAGAATCCTGAATGAACCGCCCTATAAATAAAGCCTAAACCACAAAGTCAAACCTAAACCCCCAAACCCTCAACCTGAACGCCCTGAAACACCCTAAAGCCCTAAACCCTTAAAAAGAGGCAACTTTGCCGGCGGCATCTTCTTCCCTGGCTCCGGGTGGTTTCAGGTTCGCAGCCTCAGGCCCGAGTAGACCGGGACAACCCAGGAGAGGGGAAGTTGGGAGAGTTGGGAGAGTTGGGAGGGTTTGAGGATGCTGGCGGGTCTTGAGGGCTTTAGAGTCTTTAGAGTCTTTGGAGGTTGAGATAAGCTCAGGGGCTTTGGGAGGTTGAGGGCCTGAGGATGCGGGATCCCCGGCCCGGGCCTGGTCCCTGTGAGGCGCTGCAAGGAGCTCATCGACGAGGAGGAGCATCTCCGAGGGCGGCTCGGCCCGAGGGAGCTCTTCAAGCTTTAAGGCGTGCGAAAGGAAGTTTTGCTACTAGATGTTCTGAGAGCTATCTCCCAACACTATGCCTGCTGCATCCTCTGCCATCGTTTTGCCGTTGCCCTTGCTTCTACTAATGTAGGAAAGACGTCTGCCGGTCCGTTTGAATTCGAGCTGTCGTAGCATTCTCATAGGTCTCACTCCTGTCATTTTTGCAATCGTTGGGTTATCAGTGCTCGCCGTGTGTTACAGGCTTTGACAGGTCCAAGTATATATGCATGTAATAAATAGAATGGTTTAAGAAGCCCTTCTAGTCCCAATATAACATGTGATACACCCCAGAACCCCAGGTATCGATATCGGCACGTTGTCCTATCGCGGTTCGACAACATGTGGCTGGAGCCCCATCCACCGCTGCCGGACGGTCAGGGCTGCTGGATCCCTTGGTGGCTTGGCTTCGGGTCGTTTCTGATGCGCTCTAAACCTGAAAACTGCTGGTAGTTACTAGTTCGTGGCTTCGGCGTTGAAACGATCAAAAGCAGGCCTCTGGCTGAAGAGGGACTGTGTCGTGGACTTTGGCCCGGCTTCCCAAAGCGGGCTCCGAGGGTGCGATCTCTCTCCCAGCCCGAGCCTGTACATCCCTAATCCTTCAAACTTCAAGTCCCGAAGCCCCAAGCCACAAGCTTCAAAGCTAGGCTTGGGTTGGGCGTTCCTAGTTTGTCTGGAGAGCGAATGGTTCAGGCTCAGTTTAATTTTAAAAGGATGTATTGACGTTGTGAGGGAAAGTCCAAGGTCCAAGGCAACATGACCTTCAACATGCTCATTGCTTCAAGCAGATGAGGGTGGATCCTTCGGACAGTCCGGACACCGGGTGGTCGTCGCTTAGGTTCACGTATTTGTTCCCCACCCTCGGTGTGGGACTGTTAGATTTTAAAGTCAGCTTTTACTCCTACCCCGCTGAGATTACCTCCTGGAGTACCCAACCCCGCAGACTACCGTGAGAATACCGTGAGAATCCCTGAGTGCCCAAGCCCACAGACTACCGTGAGAATCCCTGGAGTGCACAACCCCACGGACTACCCCACAGACTACCGTGAGAATCCCTGGAGTGCCCAACCTCACAGACTACAGTGAGATTCCGTGGAGTACCCAATCCCGATTTGCGTGTAGGAAGGACAAGGCGCTAGGGTGGGGATGTTCGAAGTAAAATTATTTTCATGTTGCAGCGCACGAAGACCTGCAGTCACAGTTGTAGACAGAGGCGACCGGAAGCGAAATGTAAGGTACCGTGGTGGCAATGACTGGGGTGGCTTCAATGACCACCATGCTCCATGACTGCAAGGCTTGCTGCAGAGGGCGACAGGTCCGGTGATCGTAGTAGTAGTAGCAGTAGTAGTAGTAGTAGTAGTAGTAGTAGTAGTAGTCGTAGTAGTAGTAGTAGTAGTAGTAGTAGTAGTAGTAGTAGTAGTAGTAGTCGTAGTAGTAGTAGTCGTCGTTGTCGTAGTAGTAGTAGTAGTAGTAGTAGCAGTAGTAGTAGCAGTAGTAGTAGTGAGGCTGCGAAACACCGGCTCTGAATCCTGAAGCTTCCTTTGCAGATGTCCGGGCCCGGGCTCTCCTCAGGTTAGTGACGCCGAAACCTTCAGTGTTTGGGAAATCTTGGGCAAGATGAGTTTAGTGATGAATATCTGGGGTTTCAAATCGTATGCATGACATGCACCATCACTTGTAAAATCTCAGGATGTCGTGGGGTTTGTGTGCTCGGTCGAGAACTCTTGGGTGACCCAAAGAGCGGCGACTCCCACCACGCAGAGTTGAGCAAGGTAGGGGAAGACTTTCGAAAGTCTTGCACTAAACTCCTGAACCCTGACCCTAAACCAAAACCGTTGCGCGCCCTGCGAAGATTAGATCTTCTCAAGGCTTTCTGTGACCGACGAAGTGCGGAGGTCTACATGATGCTCGGCCTGCCATTCCACGGACCGTGTTCTCAGGGAGTCCTGCCGTAAGGATCCTACAAGTCAGGGTGCATGCCGTCGAGCTTTGGAAACTGAATACATTCGATGTTCTCGGGGTCGCTGCGTCTCGGCCCATGTGCTTGGCCTGCGGCGTCGGAAATCCTGTCAGTTCGGGAAGCCATGAAGCATGGCATGACCACTGACGGCGAGTCACGAGCCAGCACTCTCCGCAGCACCCGGCACGCCTCAGGTCTCTCTATGAGTTTCTGTGCCACCCATGCGATGTGTCCAGCACTTGGGGCCGAGGCACAAGTGCGCCCAAGCAATTCAAGCATGGCGTGTGGCTCCGGAAAACTGAGCCCAAGTGATCTGATTCCAACCGGCCTTCAAGAGTCAGGCCTTGCGTGCTTTACTAGACTTAGTCATGTTTTCCTCCCTATCTTGGCCGTTGAAGCGAACCGTTGGCAATTTCGTGTTTTAGCCCACATGCTCCATGCTGGCCAGACTCGCGAGCTCAGAATTCTAACCTTACGTGGGGTCCTGATGGTGTCTCAATGCACGGCGTCACCATCATCTACACAGCATGCGAAGTAGCAGCCGGACGTCTCAAGCAGCAGTTTCCTTCTACCCCAGTTTCACGCATGCCCCACGAGTGGAGATTGGCAGCAAGGGCCTGGTGTCTTGCACGTCGCATTCATTCAGGCGTTTCGGTTTTGACAACGATTAGCTGATTAGCGGTCTAGTGCAGCCTATGCGACTGTGTGCACATAGTAGGATCATGTGTTCCCAAAGCTGAATGCTACACCGCCTGCCCATTGATTCGTTGGGTCCGTCAAAGGACCGGTCGCTACGACTCCATCACCGACACGGTGGCACAGCTTGAACTGAGGCTCCGGCCTTCGGGGGCTGACAGGAACGGCAGTCTCGACATTTCTTTGCCGTGGTCCGGAACCCATGTACCGTGCCGCGGCCAGGGACTGGTACGAAAGCTGCGGGAAGTTCACGTATCCGGAGAGCCTGAATGTGGAAAAGCACATCCGGTACACCTTGGAGAAGGCTCCTCTTTGTGTGCATACTTTACACCTTCAGTGCTCTCTCACGGCCTGATGTTGGGGAGCTCGTGCAAAACTGGCGAAAGCAATAACGGTTTCACGTAAAGCCAGTATTTCATTACAGTTTGCTCTTCGCGTGGTCCGGGGATGTGAGTCTTATTGGGCACCGGCAACGTTTTCGCACGTCAAGTTGCAATCGTGCCGTCAATCCAGTACGAAGACAGGGGTCATGGGTGCAATGCATGTCCGCTCTTTCCGTTTGAAGAATCAGCAGTGACAACGATCATCATGAGAGAGGCAAAACCAATCCGCAATTTAAGTGACATATATCGCGGGCTATTCCGTGTCGACGATCGTGGTAGCTGCTGGGCATTTCCAACCAATGGAGGCCACAGTGATCAGGTGACGACTTCTTTTTCGTACAGGCAAGGTGGCGTCAAGCACGTTCACAAGCAGCTGTATGCCATGATGACTTTTTTGAGCGGCAGCCGCAAGCACTTGTGACGACTTTGCTCTTTTTCCTGGCAGGGGTGGTGAAGAACGCTGTGCGAGGGAGTTGATCGACGTGCGTTAAAATGTATTTATTCCCTCATGACTTCACTTGTGCGGTAGCTACTGCATGCACGTGACGCTTTCCTTTTCTTCCTGGAAGACGCTGCAGCACCCGGTGCGGCTGACTCGATCGAGACGTGGTCACACTATTTCGATTGCGATTGTGCCTTTTCAAGAGCTGCGGCTAACCGCCGGCGGCGGAATGCGCGGCATCGCCACCGGCGACACTTTCTTGCTTCTCGTGTCGCGCGGTCTTGCGAGGATGTTCGCAGAATCTTTTAATGAAGCGAGCCGTCCATACCAGCTCGCGCTGCAGACACGTGCACGCACCCTCTTTCTTTCGGGCATGCTCCGGGCCGCTGTCGATTTCGACTCCGCGGCAACCATCGTATCACTCGACGGCCGCAGTGCCTACGACACGAGCTGGCGTGCCGCGTTCCTGCGCAAGCTGCACACCGTCACCGTCGTTCCTGCACTCGTCCCCCTTGTGCGCATTTGGTACAGGCAGCAGTCCACTCAACTTTTGGTGGGACGCTACAGGCCAGCGACGCACCATCCGTCAGGGCGAAGGCTGCAAACGAGGGGATGCTTTGGCTCATGCGCTGTATGCGCTTGGCCAACACGACGCCCGCGCCGCCGCCGACGCGCAGCTGCGCCCAGGAGAGTGCTGGGCGGCTTTCTCGACGATGTTTATCTCGTCACTACACCCGCTCGGACCACTTTCATCGAGCGAGGGCAAGTCGGCAAAACCGCGTGTACAACCGCGCTGGAGGGCCAGCACCTCCTGGCATCGCCGAGCTTGGGTGCGCGGGGATGCACACGAGAACGGTCATTGGGCACTTTCATCGGCACTCGCGCCGCGCTTTGTCGCCGCCGTCGCAACAAAATGCTTCCTCGAGCGGGGTAGCCCCTTGCGCCACAAAGTCAAGGCGGCGATCGGCAAGATCAACGTCGGGGGCCGATGCGGCGGTACGACCTGGCCCTCAGGTCCGACAGCTTCACGAGCAACGCGCACCCAGGTGTGCTCGCGCGGGCTTGGCTCTGCGGGGCGAGCAGACCGTCATCGGGGCAGACGGCATGGTGGTCACGATTGTTTTTTCGATGCGTTCGGCCCTCAGACTGCAATAGATTGCCTCCCCATGGCTGGCACTAATGGCTCCGATGGCACGGAGCTTGCTTATTCGCAAAAGACCGTCGCCTTCGCTGCTGGCAATCCGGCCACTCTCAATCTCTCACTTCCTAACTTAGGATAGTCTAAGGAAACAAGTGCAGCCCCGAACAGCGAGTCCACTGCGCCATAAGGGTGAGTGCAGCCAACATGCTTTCGAATATGCGCCAAAAGCATGAAAACACACTGATACGCCGCATCTTGTCAACAGGAATAGAATTGCTGACCTGATCCACGTCACACTTGGGCAAATGTATCCGCCTTGCACCGCGTATGCATTGACTACTGCACCGCAGCCGTCGCCATGTTCGCCGCATTTGTGTGGGGCGACTGGCAAAGGCTGCCGCAGTCGCCGCCGCCGCCGCAAAGATAAGATAAGATAAGATAAGATGCACCCGGTCAACTGTGCCCCCGCTCTCGTATGAGAGAAACAACAGTTGACTCATGCCCAGCAGCAAGCATCAACGCTTGGTGCTGGAAGCATGCGTTGCTGGCAGCGCCATGAACGCGGGTTTTTCACCGGTCACCGTTTGCACAGCACGTAATTTTTAGCCGATTGCCCTCACCGAATCGTCATCATGCAGTCTTCGAAGACAGGATCCTACAAATTCCTGCGAGGCCTGCGATGTGCAGGGATCTCCGAACAGATGCTGCAAGAGTTCACGCCTCGAACTTCTGGGGGGCCCTGAGCCCGAAAGTTCCTGTGCAGGTGTTGCGTGGCGGAGCATCCTCCCAACATGTGCAGCACTGAAACATTTTCTCTACCACAAGCAGGGCACGCGATGTGCTGAGGCAGTTTAGCTTTGCCTAGGAAAGGCAACGGCCATCTGCCCGTGATCCGCGCAAGTCTCCATGACCCGAAACTGGAATGAGAAGTCTGCACGGAGGCATGGTCAAACATTTCCCACTCGAGGCGAACTTCGTAAAAGCCCGAATCAGCAAGCGAAAAACCAAAAGCCGGAATCGGTTCAATGATGGTCTCCATGAGGTGCTGCTTGTCGAAATCAAGCAAGAGCGGCTTAACTACATCATGCATGTATGAACGCACAACCATGTTGCGCAGAGCTGGGTTGTATATGGCCTTTGAAACCTCACTGACCGAAAGCAACCCACAGCTGTCCAAAGCAGGCAGCTCACGAGGGAGCTGGCACGCATGAAACAAAGCCCGAACTTGCGTAAACCAAGAGGGGCAGTGTTTGGCCATCAGTAAAGCAGACAGCTTGGCGGTTGGATGTTCCGGAAGTCTCGCTCTTGCCACAGCCATGGCCACCTCGAGCTGAAAACAAATGCCTGAGCGCAACTCCCAGCCGCACTGTGCAGACACCACATGGTGCTGCAACTCACGCTGGTAGCGACATCCCAGAATGGCGTTCCCCCAGCGCCACGGGAGCTGGTTTAGTTTGCCAAGGACACCGGGCACACCAGCGAGAAAAGGTGCAGCGTACAGAACTATTGGATGAAGCCTTACAACCACCTGCAAGGCCAGAGCTGGAACCGAGAAGCCCGCCGCCCTCACGAGAGGTGGGGCCTAAGATGCGAGCACGCCGGAGGTCGCACATCCAGCCTTACGGTTACCCAGCGGCCCGAACTGCGACAGCCGCAACGCTCGAGATGCGGCATCACAGTAGGAAAAATGATTTCAAGTGCACGCTTGCTCGCGGTGTCCACGCCGTCACGCGGCATCGCGCGGCAGCATCGGGGGATCCCATGCCGGAGCGTCGTGTAGCAGTTGCCTCCACAGCGGCAACCGGTCCGCCCACGATGCGCAGTAGGCGTGGGGGCAGCCGCGACTGCCGAGCGCACCTCGAGACCACCAAGCCGCAGAGGATCGCAGGGTGAGATGCGCGAGGAGGCCACGCGCACGTACGCTCAATCGAAACAAAACTTTTTATTTCACGTATTTTTTTGCGACAGTTGCGTGCGCGGTGCCACTGCACCGTCAGGCAACGGCGCGCATGTGTGACTTATGTCAATGCTGGGAGGTGGCGAGCGGCACGGGCTTCGAGCCATCGCTCGGGTTGCAAAACATGCAAAACCTCGTGCGCAGCCGGCAGCACGGCGACTGCGCCGAAAAATGTCGAGAAGGAACTCAAGCAATGAGCCGGCGAAGGCTCTCTGCGCAGCCACCGCGATGATGTCACTCCAGATCAGTGGGCTGCGGGCGGAGAGGTAAGTGTGCGCAGCACCGGCGGAAGGTTTCGGATCACCGGAACGAGTGACGGGGCTGACACAGGTGATATGAACATGTATGATCATGTATGCACAGCAAGTTGGCGAAATCCGTCTACTCGGGCCCGGGGCGCAGGGGCGCGAAGGCGGGGACGTGGTGGCGACCTCTGGCTGGTGCTGCGACGGCACTTGAGCTGCTGGCGTGGGGTGCTGCGACTGCAAGGCGGAGGTGGCAGCGATCTGGCGGGAGCGAGTTGGATCGCTCGCAACACGTCTTCCCTCATAGGCATCCAGTCGCCGGCACGGCGATCGACAGCTGCCGAAGGCAACCGCACTCCGCCGTAGCGAGGGTTAGCTGCGAAGCTTGGCTGGCATTTGATCACCGCGATGCACAAGAGAGCATTGGCAGGTCGCAACGGCGGCATTGTGTCTCACAGCGAAATGACTGTGAGTGCGGGGGGCAAGTTGCGCAGGAGGGAATGCGCTCGGGGCGCCGCGCAGAAATGCAGCAACAGCCAGGAGGCCCGCAGCTCTGGCACATCAGGGATGCGGGTGAGATTGGTGAGGAGAGGTTGCTGTGTCTCCCTTTTCGCCCACTGTCGATTGACAGTGGCAGCGCTTAGATAGTCTCACCGATCGCCAGCGGCCAGGGTCACACAAGACACGATAGCTCACGCACTGTTTTCCCTATGGCTCGCCGCCACGTGCTGGGGGCCCTTACGGTCTCGGGCCTAAAGACATCGGAGTTTCCCGCCGGCTCTGAGGCTGACTGTTCACAGCTCGCAAAGTTTTCTTTGGTGCCAGAGCGCGTGTGACGGGTGATGGTGCCCAGGATTTTCTGTCTCCGTCTAAGCTCCGCTTCCTAAGCTTCCGCCACAATGCTCCAGCGCCCCGTCTGCAAAAGTTTGATGAGTGGGTCAAGATTCCCTCCTACTCTCGTGAGGGGATCCACTATCATTCGGTTGTGACCGATCCATTGGGCGCCGTCGTCAAACTCGATGAAGGAGTAACGGGTCTCTCCGAATAGCAATATTGGTACTGGGCACCCCTTTCCGCCGTTCGGTTTGAACATCCCGAACCTGGAGAACCCGTGCCACGGGATCAGCCGCTCTGTT